AGAGTTTATTTTTTTGCACCTTTCGTTGTAACATCATCTTGGAGACGTTTAGTACCACTGCCGACAGGGGTACCGGTGACCGCGTTGCTGGTGGGTTTATCGCTCGCAACCAGGGGTCCAGCAGGGCGTTCTACACGGAACCACGACGTAATATTTCTGCTGTTTGACATCATTGCTTCTTCCAGCCGAATATGCTACTGAGAAAATCTCGCTATTACCCCAATTAAATAGGGCGAAAGTGTTTATTGTCGAAGTACGAAGCTGTATTAGTCCATTGTCTTCGCTTAATCACTGACATGTTTCCATTCACACCTGATTTGGCTCACAATACCAGACGCTGATGACGCTGACTAACAGATTCGCACGTGTATTTACAAGCTAAAACAAAGAATAACAGGAAATGCCACAGAGTAGCAGGCAATCTCTCAGAGTAGTGGGCAATCTCTCAGAGTAGCGGCATAAATAATAAAGTAGCGGCCCCGCTACGCTAAAACGCTTTGGGGAGAACACTGGTTCATGTGTGATCATTTGCAATATTTCTAAAATTGATGTTATTTTAAAAAAAATGGTACATTTTTGTACATTTGATCATAGACAATGTAGTTTTATGATTTGATGCACTAGTCATTTAACTTGCAACAGTCGTATGTTCATAAAGTTCATTTTCACTGGCAAATTTTGCTAGTTGAGTTGCTAACTAGTTTGCTAAGATGATTACACAGTTTGAACAAGTTGGGCCAAACCAACAGGAGAAATCCAACTAATGCTGAAGGTCATTTTGAATATCAGTAGATGTCATCCAATCGTATAAATTGGCAAATGCCAAGATATCCAAACAATTAAGCGTAATGTATGTACTGTTGCAGTGTCACATGTTGCTGGCATGTTTAGTACTAGTATGTGGCTTACCGCATGTAAATTAGCATATTTAGCCGAATGACTCTTTCTCTGAAAACTGGTTTGATCTTATCAGTTCTACTTGTATATCGATCTTGGCACACACACGGTAAACCAGTCAGCAACTAAGCTAATAATTTCCCTGTTTGGCTATCTAAAACTACATAGCAGTGAGTTATTTTTTGTAACTGGAATTTGAGAAATATATTAAATTTGGAATAATTGAAGTCCATTCATGAGAATAAATGAGAATTTCACTGCATAATTTTTTTGAAAATGAAAATGTTTTCAATAAATTTTAAAATGTCCATAAATGGTGACTGGTGCTACACATATTTGCTAGGAAGCCCGACAAAAAAAAATCTTGTTCTTTACACCTGCACTTGCCAGATTGCATTGATTTTAACTTGCAACAACAAAAAATGTTTTGTCAATGCGTCTTCCTAACTGTATACATGTATGTAGCCATCATTCACTGCCAATGATGTATTTTCTTTGACGTTTCTGCATTTTGGATACCATTTATGGATGTCAAGATGAGTATGAAACGATTCTTCACTTCCAACTAATGAAATAGCTATTTAATTAGGATTAAGCATGAACTATACATGTACAGAATGTAATGTACCATGATTTATATTTTTTTTCCATCCATGCCAGCTTTTGTATTGGAAGACAAGTTGAGTCAGATGTGCACGACCCTTTGTTTATAGAACTGCATCAGCTGCAGTGTGTTCTCATTGTATTTGAAAGTTAAAACCTCAGTGAGCATGTTAAAGGCAAAGCTGTGTGTCACAGAAAACAAATGGCTATTCACAATAGTTGCTTTTTGTGGTGGTTGTTTGAGTAATTATTTTTACACATTGCATCCCATCCCTGTTACAGTAGAATCCTAATCGTATGTCATTGTACTTGGGTGCAAAACATGTTCTGATCTAAGAGCTCCATATTTGTGGTCCAAATAACTAAAATGCTTTGAGATTGTGAACAAAATATTTGAATATTTTAACCCTTTTTCTGCTTGCCCAATGTACTTTTACATTGACTAAACCAGATGCAATAAAGTGTTAAAAGGCAGGGGGACACCAACTGCAATGCTGAATGTTGGGCTCTACATCATCCTAGTACTTAACTATAATATATACTTATATAGGTTTTTAAGTTGAAAATTGATGTTCAAAATGCTAGCTTTTATATTAAATGACAGAAATGTGTCTATGGTCAAAATAAGGTATAATAAACTGTATTTTAATAATCAAGCATGCAAATAATTTTTTGATTCTTGTGTGCTTTTATTTGTGATGAATAGAGCAAACACAGAACTTCTTTTTCTCTGAAATGCATCAGTCAGCTAAATGCAAGTTTAATGCCACTATTTTTGTTTTTGTTGTGCAGGAAAGAACCTGCAGTGGAAACGCTTAGTGGTAGTTTCAGGTAATTTTGGCATGTATGCACGTCAACACTGGTGAATTTGGAACCAGGCAATGTTTATAATTTGTGAAATTTTTGTATTTGGATGCATGGGTACTGTGTTTAAATTCATGCTTTGCTGTTTGTAAAAAAAAAAAAAGAATTATAATTTAGTGTTTTTAAATTTGCTTGCCAATAATTCTGTAATTCAAGTCTTTTTTAAGTACTTTTACTGGCTTGATGAGATGTTTGTATTGAAGCCTTCAATTAGCAAAGTCCCTCACAAATTTTAATAGCTTGGGTTTTGACACTTCATTTATTTTTGAAAGATTTTTCAGCTTTTTTTTCTGTTATAGTTTGTCACTTTCAGTGCTTAAGCATTGCTTAACTGCTGTGTTTTTTTTTGGGGGGGGGGGGGGGTCAATTTAATTTTTTTTTATAATTCCTTAGACTGTTTGATACAGCAAATGCACTACAATATTTACATATATGATATGAAGGTTGTTAGAGCATGCTAGTAACTTTTAAAAGCGTCTGAATCACTGATATATATTTATCTTGTTGCTAATTTAAGGGAAGTACCG